TCGCCCGTCCTCCCCCCAAACCCATACACACACACATTGTATTCCAGCACTGCTTCCCGGGCAGCTCAGCGCACTGTGGTGTCGTATCATCGGGTGATGCTCCATTCCTAAAACCCACTACACGGCACAAACACATGTATGTATGTGTGCGGCACATCCGACAAGGGCACCAGTCCAACCAAACAGCAGATAAGACACACCCCGCCGAACATACATACATACATACATACATACATACATACATACATACATACATACATACATGCATGCATGCATGCATAGCACCGCTTCGCCCCTTCTTCGCTTCACCCTTATTGCCACCCACCCACCCCTCACCCTGATTTTGCTGGTGGCGAAGTAGCTCTGCAGGCGACCCAGCTCCCCCCGGTCGATCTGACTGAACTCCACCTGCTGCTGCTGCTGCTGCGGGGCAGAGGCAGGGACCGCTACACCACCACCACCAGATGCCGCGGCGCCAGCGGGCCCGGAGGCGGAGGCCTCCCCTGCGAGAAGGGGGAAACCACCACCAGCAGTAGCAATAGCAGCAGCAGCAGCAGCACGCAGGAGGTTAAGGAATGTTCTTCAGAGTAAAGCGAAGAGCCCCCCCCGGCAGAACCTCAGCCGCGGACGGGAGAGGACTGCGGACTGCACGTCCTAAGCACTTAGGGTTAGACCGGTGGGGGAGAGAGGGCGGGCAGGACACGAATGCGGCGTTACTTGGGGGGGGTCACGGGGGCCCCGGGGGGGTGATGGGCGGGTTAGTGTCACCCGAGATCCGGTGGCCTTAACTAGGCAACACACCCCCGGGGGGATATCCGCCCCCCCTGGATATATGGAAACCAGAGGAAGAGGATATACATACAGCGCAATATACAGCGGAAACGGAAACCAGATAGGTAACGTGTGTGTGGAGTAAAACACACGGATGGGGTGAAACCCTCCTAGCCGTCGTCATTCCCCCACATTCCATCCCCCTTTTCAACTGGATGTTCCCCGCAATCACGTACCTGCTCCCCCCGCCGTACCCGACTTGGTATGTACGACAAGGTCGAACGTTGCGGACTGCGGTCGGCGGTACTCCACCCCGAGGATGTCGGAGTGGGGTATGAAGATGGCGGGGCGCTCAGCGAATAGTACGGCACCAGGGAGGGGAAATAACAGGCCCGAGTTGACTTTAACCACCGCGGGGACCGCCACGTGACCTGCGGATATATGTATGTATGTATATGTTGGCGAAGTAGCTCTGCAGGCGACCCAGCTCCCCCCCTACACACCATCCCCCAATACACCCCCAGGCAGAAGGTACACACACTGAAGTGCGTGTGTACCTTCACAACCCCCTCAAAACACCCCAGCCACCTAAGTTTAAATTGAACCCACCACCCCGCCCCGCCCCACCCCGCCCCGGCCCACACTCCGAAACCTCACCCCGGGCGCTCTTGTACACCTCGGGTTCGGGCGCCAGGAAGTTGGCGAAATTGGGGATACACATGCCGACTGCCTGGCACACCACCGCCGCCACCGGGCCCTCCAGAACCTCCCCCGAACTGGCGGTGGCGGTCAAGGAGTCGCTCTCCAAAGTCTTAAGGGTGGGGGGGTGGGTGCAGGGAAAGAAAAGTGGGGAGGGGGTAAGAGGAACCACGGGCGAGTGAAGCCAGTGAGGAGAGAAAAAGGGGTAGAGGAAGGGTGTGTGAGGCAAGGGGGGTGGGGGCGGGGAAGAAGCGCCGGCGAGAAACACCGTCGTGGGAAATACTGCACTGAAGGTCGGGGGTTGTTGGCAGGGAGGAGGGGAAGAGGGAGCTGCACAGCCGCGTAGACTTGTAGGCCCAAAGAGGCTGAAGAGGCCCGAACCGACAAAAACAATGCAACCCACCTCCCCCTCTTCGCCCCCCATCCCCCCCCCCCGACAAATCCCACCTGGACGATGATCACCTCCAGTCGCTGTTTGCCGTTCATAACCGCGGAGCCGCTCCTGTGTGTGTGTGGCGGGGGGGGTGGCATCCAGACAGGGGAATAGTGCTAGTGGTATTAGCAACAGCAGCAGCAACAGTAGAATTGATAGCAGCAGTTGTATTAGTGTTAGCAACAGCAGTAGCAGTCGCAGTGTTAGTAGTAATATTGTTAGCAGCAGCAATAGTAGGATTGTTAGCAGTATTAGCAGTGTTAGTACTGATGGTAGCAGCATAGTAGTAGTAGTAGTAGTATTAGCAGCAGTAGTATCATCCCTTTGGGTGCAAGACAGGAAGACAGACAAACAGACAGACGGACGGCAGACAGGCATACGCCGCACGCACACACACACACACCCGCTCTGTACCCTCATTCATGACACGGCGGAGCTCAGTACGTAAATGTTCAGCAACCCCCGTGCAGCCCTCTCTTCCCACTGCATAAACCAACGCCCTAGCCAATATTACATACATATATACATACATACACGCACTTATCCAGCACCAGGAACAGCAGACAGCGCTTCTTTGCATCCTGAGGGATCTGGTCCAATATCTGCGAGGGAGGTCAGGGGGTGGGGGGGCGGTGTGCTGCGTGGGAAGTATGTATGTATGTATTTGTGGCGTTGTTGTATCCGCCTTCCACCTTCCCCATGATGGCCCCACTTGCACTCGGGAAGAGGACCCAGCAGGCGGGTGGAGTTGGGGACGTGGGGGGGGGATAGAAGCGACCCCCCTAAGGGAGGTTACACGTGTGTACGTGTGCTTGTGTACGTGTGCTTGTGTACGTGTGCGCGTGTACGTGTGTGTGCATGTAAATGTAAGTGTGTTTGTAAGCGGGGATAACTCCAGCTACATGCGCTGGTGCTGTGCTGCTGCTGCTGCTACTGCTTTGTGTGGGGTGGGTGGGTGGGTGGGAGAGCGGCCTGGTGGATGGATATGGATATGTGGAGGGACACCTTCGGGGCCCTGGGGCTGGGGCCCTAGCAAGGTGGGGGAGACGGGCGATATGGGGGGGGGAGGGGAGGGGGAACATCACACATGCGGGGTTACACACCCCGAGCCGGGGTATCACTTCAGAGTCATACCGCCGACCGATTGGGCGCGACGGTGAAGGAGAGCCCTGAGCGGAAACGATACGTGTGAAACCGGTAGCTGCGTATTTGAGAGTGTGTAAAATATGTTACATGTGCCTATATGCTTATGTCTTCTGTAAATGTTTGTGTGTGTGTGTGTGTGCATATCAGCGGGTGTGGGGAGGGGAATCTCCAACGTCAGCTTTAAACCGCCAAACCCTGCGACACGGCACGCACGCCTCCCATTCAACTACAGGGGGTGAGCACGCAACCGTTCCCCCCGCTTTATCCCTTCCAAAGCAGCTTATGAGGGGGCCATGTGGGCCTTTTCATACTACTTTATGGATCAAAACCTAGGCCTACGCCCGTGACGCTTACCGCCACGTGTGTCAGCAGCTTCGTGGGGACCACGATGTTACCTTTCGCGTTGGCAAGGCAAAATGTCTCCCTTGAAAAGCTCATGTCGTAGCGCCCCCTGAGTTGACATCGTTGCAACAGAGGCATTCTCCGGCCCGTGTCGGGAGGATGTGTAATCGCTGCTACGCAGTTGTGACAAGAATTCCAGTGTTCAATTACCTTGGATTGATGAACGATAATGCTTTTAGGGTCAGAAGTGCAGGCGTAACGTCAGGGGAGCCTTGGACTGTGGGTCCCGGCAGTGCATTTTCCTTCCCACTTGCTCCTGCAGTTAGTAGCCTGGCTCCGGCCGCAATAAGAGCAGGCACTAATTGAGAATCAGGACATTTTGCAACTAACTCCAGGAAATGCCGGCCTTCTTTGCTCAGCTCTAGCGCTGCGCTGGCTTCGGTCGACATGGCAGGTGCAGCAAGCCAATATAATTTACACTAAAACATTTGCACAGTAACTTCAAAACATTTTGGGTATTCAAGACTCACATCGAAAGGCGTCCTGCTGTCCTCTGCCGACGCGGGAAAATCGGTTGTAGTTCGTTATGCTGTGATCTGTAACAAAAGGATCGCTCCAACGTCACATCCGGCCTCCTGCATGCCAATTTCTATGCGCTCCTCCATTACCTTGAGCCCACTGTCAATAATACTCATGGTGGTCTGCGGGCCGGGGATTCTGGAGTTTATCCCGTAACAATCCCGTCTAAGAGATGATTGTCATTTTCCATTATTGGGACTGGCATGTCGTGACTACCTGTGATTACCCCATTTCCTGTGGCCAGGGATACTGTTCCACCGGGCCTTTATTGCCGACCTTGAGCTGGCACTTGGTGGTGGTGCTGAGTGCTTGACGAGCAAGGTCCTAGCTTTAGGATCTCTTACAAGGACGCATATCCTTTGCGAGCCATACTGTCTATTATGCTTTGGCGTTCTTATTGCTGCCAGCCGGCAACGCAGGGCTATGGACGCGGTTGGCCGCCGCACTGGCGTCACTGGAATCTAGCCCTCATAGCACTCTACCCCCATACTTGCACCAGGCAACGCGACGCTCGGCCCCCACGACGTGTGTCTCAAGAATCTTACCGCAGCTTACCCTCACCAATTCATAGCGCGGCTCTTAGCGCTGAGGTCCCGGTGGCAGAGGTCAACACCGGGGATCTGGCTGCATTCTGGCCACAACACAGCACCTCGAACTCCCCAACAGCTCCTCCGTTGCACCATAACGGTTTTATATGAAGTAAATGCCTAGTAGTTACAGGAATAGCTGGAGGTCCGCAGGGCCGGCAGCGATATTCTTTACATGTTACTTTTCCCCAAGACATGGCATGGCAGGCCCCGAACTTGATCTTATACTACAGGCCGCAAAATAAACATGCTTTGCTGCAAGCCCCGCCATACCCACGCCGCAGCGACTGAGGTAAAGGATACCTGACAAATGGGCAATCACCACCATTCAAAGGGGAGCAGATATGACGGCCACATAATTCCTGCTCCTCCCCAGACCTCAATGTAACTCAAAATGTAAAACGAATTCACGTCGACTGAAACATCCAAACCCTACTAATGGAACAATCTTGGGGTCTAAACCAAAACAAGCGCTCTAGCCTCTCCAAGCGCCCCCTGTGTCATGCAGTTTTTATGGTCAGGATGTGAATCAACCCCTTCAGTGCTCCGCTGCAGCCTAGAATCCACGCCATATGTTGGCCCTAAATTTATATGCCCCCTTTTGTAGCCTTTCCAGTGATGTTTTGTTCTCGTAATAGCTCTCGTTTGACCAGTTTCCCAGCCATGTACCATGATGCAGAGGATGGCGAGCACAGGCGGGTGCACACCGCCATGCGCGTCAACGGCGACCAAGCAAATTGCAATCTGCTCACTAGACCCCACCCACACATCCCGCTAAAGTCCAACGCGTTTCACGACATGCGCAATGCAGCAGAAACTCCGGCGCATGCCTAGAGGATTTCTCCACCTCCACATGCCGCGCAAACTTCACTAAAACTATCATGCAGTACCCAAGTAGGTGTCCCCGCCTCCGTCCAAATAGTCGCAGCCCTGCAGCTGGCCCCATGGCAGTACACCGTCGTACCGGCACCGCAACGGAATCAAGACACCCGCCAAAGCGACAAATGCGAGCGACCGAGCATCAGCTCCAGGACGGCGCACGTCAATCATCAGGAATCGCAGGCCAGGTGCTCCAAATTGCGGTCAGGTCTGTTCCACGTCATGCCGTGCCGTGCTTCAGCGTGCTCTCTTGCCGGAATGCATTGTGAGGAGGTGCGTTCCAGGTTCAGAGGTGATGCGACCGTGTCAACGTCCAAAAGGGCTATCCGTCGCAGGGTAAGGACATCAAAGTACATGTCGCGCTGATGCCGTTATACCAAGTAGCTGTGTGACGGACCTTGACGTGGATCGAACGGAACGGGGGAAAGCAGCGAAGGTGCCCCCGACCCTTTACCCGTGCAGCCAAATGCAGGCTACACCTGGTTGACCACGCCGCCTTGCCGGAACGCAGCCAAGGCCTCCTCCTTCTGCTTCTCTTCCCGATTCTCCCTAATGCCGCCCTTGCCGCTGCAAGGGTGTTCAAGCCGCAACAGGAAGGGCATATAAAAAGGCACGTACTTTCATTCGCGGCACCAGGAGTTTATGTGATGCCCGACTTCGGCGCGGACAGTAGCAACACGACCCACAGTCCCATAATGCTTTCGCCCGTAAGACATGCCCCGTCCATGCTGCGGCAGCTTGCGTACCCAACCGGCTAGCGCTAACGGCTGGGCGCACGTGCGAGGAACAACCATCAGAGAGGAGCCGGTTCTGATGCCCACCGTCGATAGCCCTCACCACGCTATTACCACGAACCCTAGCCCTCTTTTTTTCATCACAATCTTCTACCTGACGCATCAGGCAGGCATGCGATGTTTCGGGCTTATCAACCAATTCAACCAATCGATGGCCCCCTTGCAGGAATCCTAGGTTAGTCGCCCTTAAGAGGGAAAAGTACGAGATCCCGGTCCCTTCACTCCACAAACAAAATTCAGAATATGCTACTGTAATTGTAGAGGTTCTTCTTGCGCTTCTGCTCGTTTGCTTACCGGAAATGCAAAAACACGTCCACGATGACCCAGCACGACCACGCCGCCAGCACGGTCCAGCAGCCCGCCCCGACCAGGTAGACAACGCCCGCAAAGTAATTCTTGTCCAGCGCATTCAGAGCGGTGATAAAACCGGCAAAAGACCACTGGTTCGCGCTGAAGGGAAACGCTGCAGGCGGGGGCCGAGCGGGAGGAACAGGGTGGTGAAATGTGTGCATGAGGCGCTTAAGCGGCAAGGTGCATGGAGCCGTGAGTATTAGCTGGGAAACGCACGCCACACACGCACACAGTTAAGGCTGATGTTACGCATGTGTTGGGGCAGCCTACGGTTTAGCCATTCATGGAGGCGCATTTTCCTCTGGAGGTACGAAAACTTGTGCCCTTGCAGCCGTCCGAGAAGGTTCACAGTAGAAAATCCGTGACAACATACCCCTTAACAAGAGAGCCGCCCATATGCAGCGTCAACACGGACAAAGCAGCGTGGCAAAAAAAGAAGCTGAGAAGCTGAATGCCAACGGTTAATCTTCTTCCGTCCATCAAACTGTCGGAGTGTGCATAAGCTGTATTTCCTCCGAAGAACCGAGCTGCGAGGTCTGTGCCACGCCGTGTCAATAAAAAAACCACCAGGGGCCTTCGGCAATTGGCGCTTTGGAGTCCCCTCCGCAAGCATAGCACAGCACTCGGGCGACAGCCCGTCCTTACCAATGGCTGCCCAGGTGCAGAAAGCCGTGTGGACCGCAAACCAAATGAAGAACCAGATGAAGCTGAACGCGGAATCGGCCTTGGCGCCGTTGTACAGGCGCTTGTACCACAGCCACCAACTTAGGGGCACACCGGTGATTAGGTACACCACTGCGGGGGAAACATGATAGCACACGGGCCCATTCAAAAAGAAGCCAGTCTGAATCCGCTGCTGGCTCGCTTTTCGCCCCGCACGCAGCTAAAGGCCCACTGTAGACTGCGTGGCCACAGCTTGATGCTAGTAAACAGGAGTGACATGTTGCCTGGACTTAGCTGCCATCTCATACCATGCTATACTGCAGTTAAGCTGTGAAGTATGGAATTCTGCGGTATCCCACAATAAACCTTACGTGCTAGGAACCAGCTAGGCACTTTTTGGTTGACGTTCTGTCCAAGCATGACGCAGGTGCAGAACCAGTTCCAGATGAGGCAGATCACTAGGCCCTGGGGTCAAGGGAGAGAGCAGGGAGGGATATAGTTACCACCCCACTGGTGTAAGGTTGCAGGGCCAAATGCCTACCCCAGAACGCGCGACCTTCGGGCACTTACCCACCACGCCATGTAACCCTCTCGGACAACGCGGCGTCCTTTCGGTGGAATCTCCGCGCTGATGTCGTGATACAAAATGGGGTAACAAATTGGCCAATTCTTCTTGTTTTGCTCAGAAAGCTTTGCCTCCAGCTCTTTCAGCTGCTTCTCCTTCGCTGCCAGCTCTGCCTCCTTGCGGTTGAGCGTGGAAGTATTAGCCTATCGGAAGGGAAACCGATAGACGTCGCGCATACAACACTGTTACAGCTAAGTGCTTTAATTATCACATAACTATTTGAATAGATAAAAAGCAAAAATAACATGGGAAACGTACCTGCGTGGAGCTTCCCACACCGAAGGATTGCTGACCGCCCGCAGTAGCCTGTCCATAGGCTCCAGCTGCTGAACCGAATCCTCCATTATTGCTAGGCTGACTTCGCTGACTCGTTGTTGCGAGCTCCTGCCGTGGAGCTGCTGTTGCCGAGAACGTGCTTGCACCATAAGCACCCTTGGGCGATGGCGGTGCTTGCGGAAACTGGTTAGCATCATCCTCGTACTGCCTTTGAGGCGGCGGTCCCCATGCGCCACCGCCAACGGCACCCCATCCCATGGCCATTTCGAACTCTTGTGGAATTAAGTAGTTTTGTAATCACGGATATGTAGTGGCGCTAGGGACGGTAATATAAAATAGGAAAGCTGGTCCTTACACCAGGTATAACGTTGCTGCGAATTTTGCTCTCCACAACTCTAGCACGAGGGCGCCAGTGCATATGTAGATGCTACTTGTCTGAGCAGTATCATGAGTCAAACATCAAAGCTGATATTCAAGGCGGTATGGGGCTACTAAATGCAAGGGACGCATGCGCGTGTCACAGGCAGTACGGCATTTGTCCCGTCTGAACTGAAGCCTAAGTTCATAAAGTTATGCTGAATCTGGTATGGTGTACACACAATATTGATTCCGCAAAATCATGCAACAGGAAGGTCACTAAACGAGGGGGAGCCCCAACCGATGGTTGCAAGTAAGCGGTTGCCCACTCTTCCACCGCAAGCCGTGGCCTTGCTCTTGATATTCTATGGACAACCAGAAACATCTAAAAAGGATATCAAAGTCTACAGGTGTTCCCTTAAAATTGGCACGCTGTAGCAACCTACACTGAAAGCAAGCGCATGCGATTATTACATTTGTATTATTGAAACATAATTATTATATAGGAAAGCTTGAACATGCATACGCTGTGCCGGCATGAGACTAGCCAGATGAAAGCACGCATCGTCGCAGCCGACAGTTGATGCCAGTTAACGCCTGTAGAGGCGGATGAGGGTTCACTGCCGTAGGCATGCTCCATGGATTCATGTCATGCTTTGTAGTAAACGTGACTCTTAGTCCTGGGGCTCTGTGCCTGCAAGGTTACGAACTGGGACTGCACAGCCGGCGCAACCAATTGGCGCAACCAATAAAAGCTGTCAGTTGGAAGCCGCCAGCAACTTGGGACATCGCTTTTTCTTCCTCGACTCTGTAACATCCAGTCGGCAATTAAATGCGTTTTCATACGTTTCGGCCACGTGTGACCCATACCAGTCATGTGGGGTACAAAAACAGAAAGATGACTGACTGCGGTCAGCCCCGGTTATGACCGGTCCGCAAGACACCGTACATGACCCGAACATCCCAAATGAAAGAGTCACTCCGGACTCCACGCATAGGTTCTTCCCTTAAAAATGCTGGATAGCGGACGAGGGATCGGTTTCCCTGCCGCGGCACGGCCTGTGATCGGGGGCCAGCGTGAAGTTCACAGAGGGGGGAGTTAGCCAGAGTTAGCTAAGCGGAGTGACACCCCTACAAGCGACCTGACTACCGCCCAGACCTCAACCCCAAGTACGCGACCCCAAGTACGGCCCAGGGGTCCGCATAACTCACCTCGGCAGACCAGCGTATAGACGTATATACATGTCCGTCGCCATGGAAACCATTTCCAAGCCCGCATGAAAGCTGCGTGAAGTAAGTCCCTACGAGCCGGATGGAGCCTACTATTCCACACTGACGTGGTGCTTTTTCCCTTGGCATCTCTTCCCTCGACCTGCCTTTTCCCTCTTCCAATTTCGTATTTGGCCTAAATTGGCCCAACTGACGAGGCTGCGTCTTGTTTTGCTAGTTTTCCTTTTTCTCTTTTGTTGCAGACCCCGTAATGTTCCCTGTTTGGTAATCGCCTGAGCGGGTGACCGGTAACTTACCGAGATAGTGTCTTTCGTTGCATTGCATGTCAGATCTTAGGACTTGACCCGGACTAATAACACTCTGTCGAACGTCGTCAAACGCAATTGACTGTGTTTGTTTCCGTAGGGCTGTAAGGAAAACATAATATCAGGAGCTCCTGTCAAGTCTACACTGTCCCGCACGCGGAAATGCACCGGATGACGCAGATCTTGCCGCGGCAGCGACCGACAGCTCAGGAGCGCAGCAGTGTTATCCTACCATCACAGGTGCAATAGGTTTTGAATCAGCGGCAGTATACATATGGCTTACAGCTCCTTGTAAAGGGCGTGTGTCCAAGAGCGGCGTCCTAAGGTTGGAATGATTGTTTCGACACGATGTGCCTCTATTCCGTGCAAGGCAAGGTGCATGCTCAGATGGAATACGGATCACAGGCAGGCATAATCGCATCACGTTGTACCCATAAAAATTGGGCCCGTTACGCGCATGCATGGTTCCATGGCCCGGGAATCGTCTTAGTAACCATGTGCATAAGGCCCTAGACAACTATGAATTTTCACATAAAAGCTGGGCCGGCCTTACTTTTGAAGCCCTGCCCCCGCTTCTGCTTCGTGATTATTCGACTAGGTATTATTGGTTGGCGTGTCTCGCGTGTCTCGCGTGTCTCGCCCTGACATTTTCAGAACCACTTCCTACCGGAGCATCTGCATCTTCGCCGGTTGATTGCAACTAGAAGCTGTCCCAGTTTGAGAAGAAGAACTGCCCAATTACCTATTATCTTGATGTAAGTTGTGGGGGCAAACGTAACAGGACCCTACCTGTTCTCGATCGCCGGACGGCTATTACCAACTCGGACGTCGCAAAACCCCTCGCCCTTAATGACGTCTTATGGAGAACATTTGCTAGTACATTTCACCATTTCACTCTGATGTATGCATCTTCGTGTTGGAAGCTCGAGTCTTTCCTCGCTGACTTACGTTGATGACGGTGATGAAAGGATTTCCGATACCCCTGGGATATTTGCCCACGCCTCTTGCAGCCCTCAAAAGCCTTCCAAGCCATCGTAATGGACGCTACCATGAAGATGACCTCGTCTGCCAGCAAGATCTCTTGCCGCGCAGCCCCTGGTTCGCTGCTGCCTCCGCTTTCCAGGTGCTTACTACGTCACCAGTAAATAGCGCGCTTTCGTTGCGCGTTAATTGTTTGCCACACAACCTTCACGTTGCAAGTAACAATACATCATTATGTCTTCTAACACAATGCAAGCCAATAATTTGTCTGCTTGCGGTTTTGCGTCAACGGTCTCCAACCTAATCTATCTATACATCTCCATCTACCGAGCCAACAGCAATTCAGCCATCTACGGCCAGGCATCAAAGCTGACCGAATAGCCGATCCACCCGACAATTTTGCCGTCCATCCATTTGTTACCCTGTAAATTTTGAACCGCAGCCGTGTTGCAAGCAAGCGCATCGTCATCGGGGCTGCTGCTCCGCCGGAGGGCGCTGCGACCGCTCCCGCACCTTTCGATATCAGATCCTCCGATCCCCTCCGACCTGTGGCCAGTAATGCCCGGACCTCGGGCAATATCCTTCCCTTCGCGCCACCTGAAGCGACCTCTAGCAAGAAGTTGCGAACTCCTAGGAAGGTAAGGACTTCCAGACTTGCAACACATCTTGAAACTCAGCGAGGTCATGCATTTCTAGGTTTATAGAACAAAGTTTTGTGGCCATGGATGAATATTGCCGCCGCTGTGCTCAACTCAGGCGCCCATGGACGGCAACGAGGCCGCCGCACACGTCGCTTACGCCGTCTCGGACGTGTCCTTCATCTACCCTATCACCCCCGCTACGGTCATGGGCGAGCTCGTGGACCAGTGGGCAGCTGAGGGCAAAACCAACGTTTTCGGCAACGTTATGAGCGTGACTGAGATGGAAAGCGAGACAGGCGCGGCAGGTGCGTGCATTGCACACACAGGCGATGTGGGTCACCACAAATTGATGTGGGTCACGCACGTCGATGTGGGTCACCCACACCCGAATCGATGTGGGTGTCGATGTGGGCGTCGATATGTTTTGAGATGGAAGCAAATGGGGTCAAATCGATATAAAACGTGGAGCTTATAATTTCCCACATGTGCGCTTGTGCGTGTGCGTGTGCGTGTGCGAGTGGGTTTATGATTGGTGCGCAACGGCATGACAATGTCCCTTGAACCTCCCTGCTCCCCAGGTGCACTTCACGGTGCGCTGGCAGCCGGCAGTCTGGCCACCACCTTCACGTGCTCCCAGGGGCTGCTGCTGATGGTGCCCAACATGTACAAGATTGCTGGCGAACTGACGCCCTGTGTGCTGCACGTGACGGCGAGGGCACTGGCCCGCCACGCGCTCTCCATCTTCGGCGACCACCAGGACGTCATGGCGGTGCGGCAGGTAGGGACGCTGTTGACCCCAGGGCCCCAGGCAATAAATACGCGAAGAAGAGGCAGCGCAGAAGGCAGAGAAGAAGGCTCCAGAAATCCAGTATAGAGGGGGCAGGTGGAGCCGGTTGGAAGGCTAAAAAGGAGAGGGAAGAACGAGCCACTTTTTATCATATTTTGTTCTAGAAAATTTTTGTTGGCTGCTGGCCCTCCTGACTGTGTTGTGCAGCCTGCACCGTGACTTGCTTTCCCAACGGCCTCTCCTTGCTGACATCCTGTTTTGTCGTACTCTTCTTCCTTCCCCGGGCCATTTTCCTCCTCTGCAGACTGGTTGGGCTATGTTGTGCAGCCACAGTGTTCAGGAGGCTCACGATATGGCGCTGGTGGCCCATCTGGCCACGTTGCGGACATCGCTGCCCTTCGTGCACTTCTTTGACGGATTCCGGACCAGCCACGAAATTAACACCATCGAGATGATTGACAACGCCGACATCCAGGAGTGAGTAGTAAAGAGTTTGTTTTAAGGGGTTTTTCATCTACATGGCTAGCCCAAATCCAGCATAGCAGTTAGTTCGTGACGATTCGTGTGCAGCCCTATTTTCCCGCCTAACTATCATATGATGTTTGTCCTCCGGATTCCTTATTGCCCCTTAAATCTTGACATGCGCTATTTACATTTTCCTGACCAGCGGGGCATCCTTCCACGACTTCACATTTCGTTTCTTATTTTGACTCGAGGAGGGGTCTTTTTCCCACCTCTTCCTTCCACGCACGCAGGCTACTGAGCAAGTCCGTCTACGCGGAGGCTATCCGCCATCACCGCACTCGGGCTCTTAACCCCACCCACCCGCACCAGCGCGGTACGGCACAGGGATCCGACGTGTACTTCCAGTGCGTGGAGGCCGCCAACCCTTTCTACGACAATGCGTTCGAGCACGTGCTCGCGGCCATGGCTGAGGTGACGGCCATCACGGGCCGGTCGTACAAGCCGTACGAGTACGTGGGTGCTCCTGACGCGGACAAGGTGATTGTGATCATGGGCAGTGGCAGCCAGGCGGTGGAGGAGGCGGTCGAGTACCTCAATGGCACCGGGCACCGGGTCGGAGTTCTTAAGGTAAGGGTGGAACGTTTTGATGATGTGCTTTCCCATTGATATAGCCTTCCTCTATGCCTTCTTACTGGTGATGTCTTGTAATAAAACATTTCTCCGCCAGGCTATGCTGAGCAATTTTATCGCTTCTTATCTGTATGTGTGATCTTATCCTCTTAATGGAGGGAACAGGTTTACTTTTCATAACGCTTGGCACGCATCATGAAGTCGCCAACTACTTCGCCGTGACCCGTCGCATTTGAACTCCTCGCGTATGTATGTAGGTACGTCTCTTCCGGCCCTGGCGGTCCGAGTCGTTCCTGGGCGAGCTGCCCAGTTCCGTCTCCAAGATTGCCGTGTTGGACCGCACCAAGGAGAGTGGCGCCGCCGGCGAGCCCATGTACCAGCAAGTGGCGGCAGCGCTGCACCAGCTGGAGCTGGACAACCCCACGATGCCGTAAGTAGTCCGGATCGCGGCGCGCTCTTCTGCACTTCCAACACTCTTTTTTTTGACGTATGGCCTTGCCGTGATCACGTTCAGCCTGTACCTTACCACCCACCATCCGGTATTTCCGTAAGCTTCCTACCCTTCCTTCCGCCCTCGCAACAGTCGTCGTTCCATCGTGGGCGGTCGCTTCGGTCTGGCCTCCAAGGAGTTCCTGCCCTCACACGCCGTGGCCGTGTTCGAGAACCTGGACGCCCCCACCCCCATGCGCGACTTCACCGTCGGCATCATGGACGACGTGACGCGGCGCAGCCTGCCGCCCTCGCAGCTACTGCCAGCGGGTGTGTCCACCCTCCCTCCCGGGACCTTCGAGTGCCTTTTCTGGGGTATGGGCTCCGACGGCACCGTGGGCGCCAACAAGGAGGCAATAAAGATCATCGCCTCCAACACGCCCCTGTCGGCACAGGCGTACTTCTCGTACGACGCGCACAAGAGTGGCGGAGTGACGGTGAGCCATCTGCGTTTCGGGCCGAGCAAGATCCGCGCGCCGTACCTGGTACAGCAGGCGGACTACATGGCCGTCAACCACCAGTCGTACATGGCCAAGTACGATACGCTGGCGGGGCTGAAGCCTGGCGGCGTGCTGGTGCTCAACACCACTTTCACCACTGTCGAGTCGCTCAGCAAGTACCTGTGAGTGAGGCGTGTCCCGGGTATACCTGGTCAGGGTATGCCTATGCCCCAAGTAGGTGCGGAGAGCAAAAGATTTTTTAAAGCGGGAGTGCATGATGGCGATGAACGCTTTCCCGGCTGTCCGACTCTCCCTTGTTGGAGAGCCAAGATGTGATGTGATGTCTGGATTTGGAAAATACCCCGTTTCACGTGCCTGGTCTCTGCCGTGTGTGTCCCTCAGGCCCGCCTCGGTGAAGAAGCGGCTGGCTGCCCTGCAGCCCCGTTTGTACCTGATTGACGCGCTGTCCGTGGCCCGGTCTTCCGGCCTGGGCAAGCACGTCAACATGGTCATGCAGACGGTGTTCTTCAACCTGAGCGGAGTGCTGACTATGGACAAGGCCATTGCGCTGCTGAAGAAGTCGATCTCCAAGGCTTACGAGCGCAAGGGCCCCGAGGTGAGCGCCGAGGAAGTTTCCCATGCATGCTCTGGGTAATCCTGACGGGTTGTATTATATGTTTTCTTAAGTGTATCCGTGCGTTGGGGGAAATGGCTGCGATCGGCCCTGAAACGATGTTCGGCTAGCCTTGCGTTGTCATGTTTGTCTGTCTGTCTGTCTGTGAGCTTTAGCAAACTAGATTGCTTGCAAGGGCGGCCTTCCCGGCGGGGTTCATTGTGCTGTGTGATTGGATTGTGATTGCGATTGCCGATTACGCTTGTAATTTGTAATGGTGGTTCCCGGAGTTCAGGTTGTGGCCAAAAATCACGCAGCCGTGGATGCCGCTATCGCTGCGCTGAAGCACGTGGAGATCCCTGCTTCCTGGGCGGATGTGCAAACAGCCGCGCTGCACCCTAACCCGCCTGCCAAGACCAACTCCGGCAGCCGGTGGGAATTTATGGAGCAAGTGGCGCGACCCATGCTGGCCCTGGAAGGCGACAAATTGCCCGTCAGCATATTCTCACCAGGTGAGGAGTATGCCATGAAGTATGATGAGAGTATATATGCCATATGAGATTTTTAAGAATCGCAACAAGAGCGATATGCGCATGCCGGGTGCTCCTTTCACCGATGTCAATTAATTCCTTCCTCCCGGCGCCCTATTCTTCACGAAAATGTATGGATTTACCACGATGACATGCCTTTCTACTTGCGATGTAGCTTAAGAGATTTCCCACCACGTAGTCTACCCCATGTGTTGCGCGCAGAGGGCTTCGTTCCCCCGGGCACCACCATCATCGAGAAGCGCGCCATCGCCTCCCAGGTGCCCGTGTGGAAGTCCGAGAACTGCACCCAGTGTAACATCTGCGCCTTCGTGTGTCCGCACGCCGCGATCCGGCCCTCTCTCGCCCAGCCGGGAGAGCTGGCGAACGCGCCCGCAGCCTTTACCTCCATTCCCGCCAAGGGACCGGGCCTGCAGGGCTTGCAGTACCGCATCCAGGTGTCGCCGTACGATTGTACGGGATGTGACTTGTGCACGCACGCGTGTCCGGACAACGCGCTGGAGGCTAAGCCCCTGAGCAGTGTTCTGGAGGTGGAGAACGCCAATTGGGACTTCGCACGGTGAGCCGCGTGGGTCCCGTGGGTGTAGAGGACGTGTGCGAGGTGAGGTTGAAAGTTAGTGAGAGCAAGGCGATTTTTAATGTTCCTTGCTTTCGTTGCTGTCCTTGGCTCCATTCGTTCTTTACTGCGTTGCATGCATGCATCTCCCTCCTTCAGCTCGCTTCCAGTGCTTGACAACCTGATGGACCGTACCAGCGTGAAGGGCTCTCAGCTGCAGCAGCCCCTCATGGAGTTCTCGGGCGCGTGCGAGGGCTGCGGCGAGACGCCGTACGTCAAGCTGCTGACTCAGCTCTTCGGCGACAGGCTCATCATCGCCAACGCCACCGGCTGCTCGTCCATCTGGGGCGGCTCCGCACCCTCCAACCCGTACACCACCAATGCGGACGGCTACGGACCTGCCTGGGCCAACTCCCTGTTTGAGGACAACGCCCAGTTCGGCCTGGGTATTGCCACGGGCACGCTGCAGCGCCGTCAGGCCCTGCACCGCCGTGTGGAGCAATTGTTGGCGGCCCCGCAGGAAGCCGTGGCTCCCAGCGAGAAGTTGCGGAGTGCGCTGAGCCGCTGGGCGGAGCATTACCAGGACGCGGAGGTGGCCAACGTGGTGGCGAAGGAGCTTCAGCCGCTGCTCGAGGCCGAGAAGGACACGGCGGGGCCTGCGCTGGCTGCCGTGTACGCCGAGCGTGACATGCTGCACAAGCCGTCGACGTGGATTGTTGGCGGTGACGGCTGGGCGTACGACATTGGTTTCGGAGGGCTGGACCACGTGCTGGCATCTGGCGAGAATGTCAACATTCTTGTGCTGGATACCGAGGTGTACAGCAACACAGGCGGACAACGTTCCAAGGCTACGCCCATGTCCGCCGTCGCCAAATTCGCCGCGGGTGAGCTCTGCACCACCTAGTTAGTCACCTGGCCGTTCGTTGCCGGAAGAGGTCATCAGAATGCAGAAGGAGCTGGGTTCACGTGTATACCTGACAAAGTTGCATACATCCACTACGCTTCTTAATGTTAATTTCTTGCTGTCAAATATGTTAAATAGCACACTGCCCTGAAGGGGTTTCCTCGTGCAACGAATGTGGGTGTTAACTATGACACTGTGTGTTACCACTGTCCCCGACCGAAGGTGGCAAGGAGCGTCCGAAGAAGGGGTTTCCTCGTGCAACGAATGTGGGTGTTAACTATGACACTGTGTGTTACCACTGTCCCCGACCGAAGGTGGCAAGGAGCGTCCGAAGAAGGATCTGGGCGCCATCGCGATGAGCTATGGCGACGTCTACGTGGCTTCGACATCCTTGCACGCCAACTATGGTCAGGTGGTCAAGGCGATGACGGAGGCTGAGCGCTACCCGGGCGTGAGCTTGGTGCTGTGCTACTCGCCGTGCATGCTGCACGGTATCTCCTCCGGCATGTGCTCCGCCATCGACGAGTCCAAGATGGCTGTGGACACGGGCTACTGGCCGCTGTACCGCTACAACCCGGCCGTCAAGGAGGACTCCAGCCACCACCGCTTCCAGCTGGACTCCAAGAAGCTCAAGGGTGACATCCACGAGCTGTTCGCGCACGAGAACAGGTGCGGTGCTGGGGAGGGGCTGGCATGGAGAGTTTGATTTGTGAGCAGTGAGGGAAGAGATGGTATGCATGCAACGTAAGTTTGGGGGCAGCTTTTCTACTCCTACAAGTCTTATTTAATCCTTTTGTTTGTTCTTGATTAAGTTGGATTCACGTTTTTCCATACGATAAGTAATATAATTTTTAAAAAAGTTTGATCATGGTAGGCATGAACGCGGCGCTTTACTTATATATAAGAATGTGCCTGTCTTGTTGGAGGGACTATAAACCCGCTGCATTCTGTACCCTCGTAGGTTCCAGATTCTGGAGCGGAAGGCGCCCGAGGCGGCAAGGCACATGCACGAAGTCATGGACGAATCCGTACATGAGCGCTTCCAAAAGTACAAGAACCTGGCGGCGGGAGGCCCGGGCATCGCATCGCAGCAGCAGGCGCCGCCCAAGCAGCAGTAGTGGGCGAGGGCTTTCGACGTGATGGCAATGATGATGCATTGGTGACAGTTCTTAAATCTTTCGCTGGGATAAGCTGGGATAAGTAGGCTCCTGTCCTTCTGTACCAGACAGCGTGCGCTGTACTATAATGATGTGTTGCTTGCATGAGATATAACAATCGAAGAAGTGGAGATGGAGATTAGCAACATGCCATTGGTGTGGGAGGATGCATTTGTACCGGCGAAACGTCAGCTGCGTGTCGATAGGGGCACCAGGAGGTTCTGGAGAAATGCATGAAATGATGGGTTAAGTTGAAAGCGATGCTGGACTGTACTGTTGTAAGCAGGAACGGAATGTGTCTACTGTCGCTTGATCTCGTGACCCATAGGACAAGTCACAATATGATCAATTAAGTTGATAGACAGGAGCAGGAGGGGCAGCAGCGCAGTACCTTCAGACGACTTGGGACATATCCCTGATACCCAGCGTCGTGTAGTTGTGAAAATGTTCAAACCTGCACTGTGTTTCACGACACCGTGATGAGCCTAAGTACGCAATTTCGCGCTTAAGAGCTAGGCTGGGAAAAAAGCTCGAGGAAAACGATTCCAATTTTACGCTCTCTGCGTTTCGTGTTCGTAATCAAAGCCAGTTGTACAAGGTGGATACATAGGCTTTGTGAAACACACGTTCCATTCCCCCTCATCTAGCATGTATGTAATATTGTTTCATACTTTTAATCGACCTCGTAATGCTAGATGAACATCCTCCTCTTCGTTCGCCTCTCGCCGCAGCATATTCATTCCAAATCTAATGGTATAATACGCAAATCCGCTTTGAACCCTACCAGGACACTGCGTTGACCATGAACCCGACGCAAACTCACGATTTAAACCATACAGCCTTGTTGCCGTCCCTAATTTGGAAATAAATCTCCTAAAAATGTTTCCCAGACATGCACTCTGGCATGAGAGGAGGCAGTGGCCCGTGCCCCGGATATAATCCCCTCCCATTTTTCATTACACCTCCACCTCCTCTAACACCCAATGTCTGCGAAACGAGCCTACGTGGTCTACCCCCCCTCTGCCCAATGTGGCCCGGTCTCAAGTCATGCGTCACAGCACCGCGCCGTAATCCGGCTGTCAGTAAGTATATGTTAGATGTCATATCTACATGTTAGATGTTGGAATCCACATTCGGTATATTCGTGCAAAAAGGGTCCCTGCCTTCACTACCCTGGAACTCCGCGGCACCTGGAACTCGTTAGCACTTTCCACTGCCACGTTGCACCCTGAACGCCGGCGGAGATGTCCGCATTCAGCTCACAATCCCCAAAGCGCAGTGCCTCCCAGCCTGACGCTACAACCGCTGCCGCTATCTCCACCGTGTCTCTGCCGCCACCGCGTCGCCATCTCCATAATTCTCATACATACGCGGCGCCCGAGCTGCTGTCCGTCAGCTTCTGGATTAGGATCTCCTGCTCGCCCATCACCTTGATGAGCGACTGCTCCTCCATTTGGAGCCTGAGGGGATATATAAAATGGGGTTGAGGGGTCATGACCGTGCATAACAAAAAGACTAATTTCTGCTACAGAAGAAGTTTGCAACCCCGCTCAACTAGATGGAACGGCCGGCACCGTCGCACCTTTCAAGCTCCTCTCTCTTCTCTCCCAACATGCGCTCCTGCTCCTTCTGCTTCCGCTTTCGCTCCTGTGATACGTCGAGAAAGGGAGTGCGTGGGTGCTGGTCGGTGGTGCCGCGTGCAGCCATTGCGGTAGCTACTGGCGTGAGCAGGGCATCCGAGGCAGAACACGTTTGTCCCGGCTTACCTCGCTGAGAGCTGCAACCTTGTTCCGCAATCCGATTGCTTTCAACTTTTCCGCTTCAAGCCGTTCGACCTGGCAAACAAGTTGCCATGAGCTTGACGGCCAACCAAGCGACTGCATGTGGAGTACCTTACCTGCTGGTCGATAGCCGAGACGTACTTCTCGACTAGACTTTGCAGGTTATTGATGTTGCTTATGAACACGTTCGTGTTATCCTGTCAGATAGCAAGCTAGCGTAAAAATTAGGGTGAGCCAACAAGAGGCCTCAACGCATTAGCCCACCTGTAATGACTTTGAAGCAGTGTACTTGTCCACATCTAGGATGCGTACATGGAAATCCTGCGCGTAAAACACTTCGGTTGAATCCGCAAGTTCTCCGGCTTACAGCTCCCTTAGAGGACGAACCTCGTCAAAGTACACTCCTCTGTCAGCTGCATCCATTTCTAGTGATATAAATCGTTATCTAAGGTATGCTGTCGCTAGTATTTTAAGGTTGGACTGCTTCAGCATAACGTATCAAGCAAGTGTTCTTCAGGTCACCGGGGTATAATTGAAACAGCAACTGAAAGAGGAGCTCTGCTTGCAAAAGAAAACTATGCTCCAGAGCCAGGTCGTACAATAGCCTTGCCAATTATTCATGAGCCTTGACTACCTGTGTTTAGAAGCAACCCAGCAAAAATACTGACTTATTAATGTGTGGCCCAAGTGTGGCTTTTTCATCCCTTGCAATGAGTGCTAACCGTCAGGTCGGCTTCGTGCTTCAAAACTTCACGCCTTCCCCTGATCTTCGCCAAGCCGGAACGCGTCGCATACAATCAAAAGTGAATATCGCTGCTTGACGTTTTCCTCGTGCGAGATTGCATATTTACATTCTGGACTATGCGCCTTGAATTAAAATCGTATTGGGCAGAGTGCCACTTGCCCCCTTGGAAACCCTCCGCGGTGAGGTTGGCAGGTTTGTTTTCTACCATGCTCGCGGTGAATCCGTTTGAAATCTCTCACTTCAAGGGCTCCTTGCATCCGCTTTATCTGTCATCGCCCCGGGAGCTGCGCTTTGTCTCGAACGGAAAGACCATGCATGTATGCCGCCGTCAGGCACGTAGCGCGACGTGTCACCAACTTTATCTCAGACGGGACGTAGTCACCCAACAAAGGCACCTAGCAGAACCCTAGTAGCAGTATCACGCAAGGGGAACTGGCAACATGCCACGGCGCACATGCCGACACGTGCGTCTTGCTCGCCCATCACCCGCCAACATCTCCAAACGCCGCTTCCCCGCTGCGTGCTTCATACTAAAATTTAATTTGTGCGCGGCGGTCTGTAAACGCACTGCAGGGGATGCCCTATGTCGTTGAATACAAGGTTTGGTACACAAGGCCGCAGGCGCAATCTTTGCTTCTGAATGGGTAGCACGCCTTAACGGCATTGCGAACTGGGTCGCAGCATTCCTTTTCAAAATGTTTCAACCCCGTTATGGCGAATCATTCATAATATGAACGACCACAAGAGCGGCATCGAGTAAACACCATGATATTGGCAGGCCCTACTGGTGCGTCTCGGGAGCAAACGCTGCACAGCACCATGTGGGCAGCTTACCCTGATGATGAGGTTCGAGGTTGGAAATCTCCACGCAGTCCAGGCAGTGGCAGCCTCAGCTATGACGCATGCACTAATTTGCATAGTTAAGGCATGTCAAAGGGCTTGCGTCTGAAACCCGAGTCTTGTGCAGGGCCAACGGGGTCTCGAAGCCTCTCGGACGCATGCCTTGGTTAGCAATCGCGGTAAATGAGCATGAGCAGGGCGGTGCATCATCATAGCAGGGCGGCGCAGGGAGACAATCTGCTCCCGTGCTCTGTAAACCCGGCGCCGCATGGAAGCGGGTAGAAGAGCGCGGTCGTCACAGTCGCGGTCGCGGTCGCGGTCGTCACAGTTACAAGGATTCATATGACATGCCTTTTCCTAAACTGGAAACGTCTTATAGAACAAATAATTAATTCGTGGTGTCTCTGCGTTATGGCAACAATGTACGAATCCATGGGCTTGGCTCTATGCAACCAGATCGTTATTCCGCTTCCTGCACTGCAAGTGCTGAGCTTATTGTTATGTTACAGACAACATGCTGCAAGGCACTGCCATTGTTGTGCTTTTAAAAAGATATGATTTGCACCGGTACCTGACCGTATCAAACCTTGCCTCCCTCTGAGGTTTTCTCCACAGGAAAATGAGATTTGCTAATGTTTTACTAGTACTAGTACCAGCGATATGTTTTCTATCTCATGGCTGGGCACCTGTCGCCGGCCAAGCGGTTTACACGTTTGTAAACGTTTTGTCTTGCATCAATCAGACCATGGAGAGGTTAAAGTAAGTCTCTGATAACGCGCTCGTTTGTACGTTGAACGGGGCGAGGGACCTAAGGAAAGTATGGCAAGGGTGGTGTGTAACCTGCTAGTAACCACAATTGCATTCTCTGGGTTGCCCTTGCGTCCTAGCTCCTTTTGGCAACAATGAGCTGCTATGAAATTGATTTCGGCGCGTTTATCTTTGAAACTGGCCATTGGCAGATTGTCGTGATTTATCCTAAGGACGATATATTCTCGCTCTTCCGCGCGGTTGCAGTTGCCCAGTTAACGGGAGTACGCCGAGTCTGCTATATACGGCTGGAGATGTCGCCACCGGCACGATCCCCAACTGCGGAATGCGCTTCTGGGAACCTGAAAAGGCGACATCCCGGCCGGTGAGCCCCCATGCAGAGGCCTCAGTGGGCCCTTCCCTTGTCCCACAGCGGCTGGTGGCGCTGTCAGGGGCTGCTGTCACCCAGCCAGGCCCCTACCTCGGTCTCCTGGCCGTCAGTTTGTCGGTGGTCGGGTGGCGGGACTCTGCACGTGTATGTCTGTGTGTGCATGTGCATGTGCATGTGCGTGTGCGCTTCAAGTGCTGTGTTTCGGGACGACCCTCTCCCCCTACCAACTGACCTGGGGGCTTAGGAGGGGTCACAGCAGGGACACATATATACATACATACTACATACATGCATGCATACCTATCGCGTTATCATTGTGATTGGGGGGTTCATCCGATTCATGAAAGCCGTGAGCTGCAACTCAAGTCAGCTCCGAAACCCATCTATTTATCCAAGAGGACGAGGGCCCGCTTTCAGCCCTAAACAGTTGAACACTCCTCGCCAGCTGTATCTGTGTGTGTGCCGAGGGCCAGGCAGCCGGTGCCGCTTATGTGGGTCCTAAAGCCGAGGAGCGAGACACAAACACAAATACTTTTAGACTTGACAACAACACCCCGGAGGAGGCGGCAGCAGCAGCGGGAGCAGGGTTGTGTTTCTTGGGCGGATTCATTCCACTCCCCAGCCCCACATGGAGAGAAAAGAGATAGGAGGAGAGAGAGAGGGGTGGGGAGAGGGAAACAGCGGGAAAGACAGGTCTTTCACGTGCTCCTGTACGAGTGTGGGGTTGTCCGGAAGGTCCTATGAACGTGGGAGGAGGGGCTCACGACGACAATTACAATGGTTGGAGCGAGCGAGCGTAAGTCTCCTACTTTGAAGCTCTTGTTCCGTTGGACTGCCGATAACGACTTGCATGAAGGTGGTGACATCGGCCCCGCAGAAGTTGCAACATGCTCCTCCACCGGTACGTTGAGACCTTGCTAGTGTGCCGCCCTCCCCTCCCCTCTTTCCACAATCGTGTGTGGTTCGTCTTTCCCCTCTTTCCAACTCTGTGCCACTTCTGGGCCCCCCCCCCACCCCCATCCCCCTCCACCCGTTAGACCGTTAAGCTGCTGCATCCCAACATCGTCATCACCAACACCACCGTCATTCCGCTGGCGAAAAGGATGAGCGATTCGATGCAGGTATGTGTACGGGACGCGTACGGAAGCGTACGGCATTGCATGTATGCACGTAATTCCGATGCGATGCGACGGCAGGGGTGGTTTCCGGATCACCCCTTGCCCGTACTGCGTGTTGGTGTCCGGTCGATCACCTTCTCAGTGGGCGGTTGGTCGTTGGTTGGGAAGAGGTGTCATGACACTTGAACCCCCCCTTCCCGTCCCCTTTCATTGAACCCCCCTCCCTCCCTCCCTCCCTGTCCCCCCTGCCTCCCTGTCCCCCCTTGTACCAGTACCCGCTGGGTGTGGATGTGATCGACTCGGTGCTGTGGACCAAGGAGCCGCTGAGGGAGTTCTCGGCGCGACCGGAGGGCATTGTGAGGGAACGAACCTGCCAGCAAGGACGTCGACCTGCCTGTCTGTCTGTCTGTCAGTCACGTACAGGCATACCAATACCCCCACATACTATACCCCATCTTCCCCCCAACCGTGCACAGTAATCCCCAACCCCCCAACCCAACCCACCCTGGGGTTGTTCCTTTCTGCAACGGCTGGTAGTACGGCTGGACACGGTTAGTGGTTAGGATTGGTTGCCATGTGTATTTCTGCACCGCGCAGAAACCACGATGGAGACCAGCCGGTAGATAGGCAGATGCGCAGACGGGCAGAGAGAGACTAGGGCGCCTCCTTCGCAAGCCTACAGCAGACGGACACTGTATGTATTTCTGCTCGTTCCGCAACCCCTACTTGCGCCTGCCGCCTCCCTTAATACACAGCCGTATTCCCATGCTATACCCCCTACCCCCCCTATCGTGTGGTTCGTCTTTCCCTACCCCCCCTACGCCCCCCCACCGCCACCCCCGCCACACGCACACGCACACACACCTACCTACCGGGTATCCCTCAGCGCGAGGCCTGGTTCCTGGACCCGGTGCTGACGGCCGACATGGCGGATGAGCCTGTCTCGGCGCTGCTGGATATGAGCCAGCTCGTGGGACAGGACCGCAACCTCAACGTAAGGCGCCCCGGGGGGAGGCGGTTGAAGGGGAGGTGGGGAAAGAAGCCTTGGGAGGCAAGCGAACGGGTGATGATGCGTGTCGAGCTGACGGGCTCCGTAGACGTGTAGACGGATGTCGGTTCGGTATCTGCTATCGTGCTCGGCCAATTGGAGTGACGGTGTTGACAGGTGTTGACAGGTGTTGACAGGTGTTGATTATCGTGTGGTGCGCAAACACGACAAGAAGACACGGCTTGGCATGTGGGGGGGTTGGAGACATGAGACGTGTAGGGTGAGACGTGAAACTCATCGCACCCCAGCCAGTGCGATCCTGTGTCCCCCGAACACGCAACCGACGTCTTTGCAGTCCGGCCGCAGTCATCTTTGACCCCTTTCCCTCCTCCCCATACAACGCACACGCGTGATTCTTTCTTTCACGTTTGTGTGTGTTTAAGTTGTTAGTGGTTCAAATGGTTCCGACGCGGTTCTTCCCTCAGGGTTTCCTTGCCTGCTGGATTTTGATTCCCTCTGATTGTACACCTCTCCACCCTCTGCGGCGTGATGTCCTGATTCCCCCTTCCCCCAAACCTTTGCCCCTCCCCCCCCCCCGGACACACCACGCTGTGCATACACATACATACATATATACGTGCACATACACGCTGCTGCACCACCGCGGCCTCGCAGTGGAACGGCTACGGCACTTTCTTCCGACGGTGGGTGCAAAGAACGTTCTCCGTGTGTGTCTCTCTCTCTCTGAGCGTTTTGCGAGTTGGGCGAGTTAGGAATTATCATTGCTGTTGGCGGAATGGCTGGTGGTGGCAGAGGTTGTTTGTGTGTGAAGGGGGGGGAGGGGGGGAGGGAGGGAGGGGGAGGCGGTAAAAGGCAGTCATGCAACGGAGCAGGTGTGTACACCTTGACGTCGAACCACCACGTTATGTGAGAGCAGTCTCTCTCGGTCGCATATCAGAGATTTCCTGTCCTCCTGTCCCTGTCCCTGTTCCCGCACTCGAGGCCGCCGCCTCGTTGTTTCCCGCCCACCTGGCCAGATTGCGAGACTGTCAAAGGCCCTCTCCCTGGTCGCGACCTCAAAACACTAACACTAAACACTAAACACTCCATTTGTCTTCTTACTCCTTCTTTTGCGGTTTCCTACCATTCCTCCGCCCATTGCATGTTGTCCCCTTGATGGTGTCGTACGGCTGGCTGGCTGGCAGATTAATGACTGAGGTCCCCATCATCGCTGTTGGCACTCTCCTCCTCCTCCTTTTGCTCGTGTTGGTGTTGGTGTTCGTATTCACCACTGGTAGCTTCTATCGTTGTTCATGCTTTGATGATCTGTACGGCTACGGCTGTCACGACACCGACCCGTCGTACGTCTGTCCGGTTCCCTCCATCCCGCAGATTCGCCTCCGTGTACGACGGCAAGGTGGTGGGACTGCCTGTCAGCGCGGCCATCATGTTGCTGTACTACAGGTGGGTGTGTGGAGGCCGTGTGTGTGTATGTATGTGAGTGAGGGTTTTCCCCGGGTGCTTTCCAAGTGGGACGAGGGGGAGGGGGGAGGCGGAGGGGGGTAACACGAACCTTTGACGGGTGGAGCTGATACTCCAATAAGAGATAGAGGGATACTCCTCCGCAGGAGTAGACAGATATACATACGGCATCAGGAGGCTCCAGTAGGGGGGAGTCGGTTCCAAGGACGGGGGTTTGAGTACGAGGGCGGCCAGAGAGGGAACACGTTGGCGAACAGAAGGATACGCTAACGACCGGCATCGGGCTTGCGATCGTGGCCCCACAATACACGTGTGAGGTTTTGGCATCATGAGCTGCCGTACACCGCAGAGCACACATCCCCCCCCCTTCCCCCATCCCCACAACACACATACACACACACACACACTTTCAACCCAACCCGCAAGCCAACCCGCTACTACCACACCAATACACACGTACGCGCATAAACACATACATACATGCATACGCACACACACACACTCGCGCATACAACTACTATAAGTTAAAGGGGTTGAAGCGGGTTTCTTCCCCGCGCGCACCCCCTGGCGGCTGCGACGGGTTTTCCCACAGGCGTGACTTTTTCGCCTTGAACAACATCACTGTCCCGGCCACGTGGGAGGAGGTGGTGGACATTGCGGAGCGGTGGAACGACACGGACCTGGACGGCACGGGGGCGGGGGCGTGGGGGTTTTGCATGTCACGACAGCCCAGTGAGCGGAAGAGGGGGAGGGGGGTGAGGGGTGGAGAGGGCCGGGGGGGGACTCAGTTGGGAGGGGAGAAAAGAGGGCGGTGAATTCTTAGTGAAGGTGTACGAATGAATTTGGCGTGTGTGTGGAGGTGATTGTTGGCCAGGATGGGTGCTTCGGGGCCGCAATGGGCCGTCATTCCTTCCTTCGCTATCTTGGGGATGGGGGCGTGTGTGCGTGTGTGTATGGACGAGCACGGCATGTGATGCCATCCTTTCCTCCTCCTCCTCCCCCTCCTCCTCCCCCTCCTCCCCAAACCAACCCTTAACACCCAAACACCCCACTGCCACCTCCACCTCTTCCTCCTGCACGCGGATGGCGGCAGATAACCCTTTGCACCGCTACTTGTAGCCTGTGTAACCCCCCCCCACACACATCTTTCCCCCCTTTCTCCCCTTCCCCCCCTCCCCCCTCCCCTTTCAGAGTG